TGTTTTACCAGTCATCTACCAGTGTTATTGTTGGTTGTCAGGTTTCAGTCGTATACACATTTTTTTTTCTCCCAGTTGAGATTTAAGACTTGCCACACGAGACCTAATTTGGCTCTCATTTACATATCACCAAATTATCATATTTGTTCATAAACAAAAATGCTGATCAAATTTCAGACTATGCCTATTTGGAAGAAACATTAAATAGCGCAGCTGTTTCAGTTTCCCGCTGGAAGTTATTTACTGACAGTTATACGGTTAACTAAACAAACAGCGCACTTCTGCGACCTTTTACTTTGGACATGAACGTGTTGTTACTTGCCTGTCTCCATGGAACTGAACAAGGAACTTGAAATCTTGCTACATTTGCGTCTCATACACTACAGGTACAGGTATGCTTCTGCACACAAGTGTCTATATTATAGAAATATTATTATGATTTTTTCAATATTATGTCTCTATATTATTATATTTCTTTCTTATATTATTTTCGGATGTTGGCTGCTGAAGATGGGGACAGAGCGCTTATGGAAATGCCCCGAGTGCTGTGATGTCGGTTCTTGAATCAAATTATTTTCGGATAGAGATTACTCTAATTTCTAAATTTTCCCTTTCACCTTCATTGGACCATAGTCCGTCAACCTACAGACATCTTATCCCATCTCATGCTGCTTCATCCAGATTCTCTCCCAATTATTATTCACATTTGTTTCTTAACATCAGAAGGTCGTGGGTTCGCTCCCTGGCGGAGCCAGACTTTTCTTCAAAAATGACCTTGGCCCCCAGGTCGACCCAGCCTTGAGTGGGTACCGGGTGCAGTCCCCGGAAGTAGAGGCGGCCGGCGTGATGCTGACCACATCACCCATCTTGTGCCGTTGGTCTATAAAAATATAGGTCTAGCCCTATATGCCTAAAGGCGTGGAAAAGGGTCCTTTACTTTTTTACTTTTTTTTTTTATTTTATCCCAGTTTTAAGATTTCCTTTATAATTTTTTAAAGAGTTTTTATACTAGTAATACTGTTAACCCTACCAACCTGAGGCCCTGAACCTAACTGTCTCCTTTACTTATACAAGCATTAAATTAAAAAATAAATAAATGATATAGACAGAAAAATTTTAGTTACATGCAAACAAGTTGTTAGAATAAGATGGAACTTGGAGACATTAGAGACATCCTAGCCCCAATATTCCACCTTTGTGTGCCAATTCACCCAGCAGGATGAGCCTTGTTTCATAAAGAGGTACTTCTTACAAAGTGAGCACCAGATTTTGCTCTTTACATTATTTCTTGGACGGTCTTTGTAAGACACTCCAGGATTTAGCTTTCTGTACCTGGAGTGTTTTTCCGTGCACACAGCACAGATATGATTAAACGATGTCCCAGGGGGAATCTCTGGAAAATGATTGCCTGGGGTCACCCATTGAGGGCAGGGTTCCTTTTGTGGGTGGTGATGGGCTGATGGCCTGTATCACTAATAAATTGCAGGTAGAGTTTCTGAATACATTTGGTGAAATTAACTTGCTTTATTGAAGTCGGTTCACTCTTCTCTGTGATAGATCTAGGAATGTTCACTTTTTGATCCTCACTGAAATTCAGATCTATATTTGGTAATATAAAATTCCTTGTCCAACCTTCATCAGCACCTAGATCTCCCTCATCAGCTGTTTGAGGGACACACACCACCTTCTCTTACTATCAACCTAGCTCTAAATCTATAAGGTTCAGGATTCTCGTCATCACTCGAGCTCTCACTGTCTGTGTCACTTCAACTGGAAAAGTATTCTTGGTCAAATTCTGACTCCCCAGAGTCTGAATCAACCAAAGTATCGATCACCTGTTGGACTGTAAAAAGCCTGGACCTACTTTGCTTTCCTGTTAAAGTGCTTGGTTCATCAGCCGCTTGTTTCATGGTGAATTTTTCACATTAACCACACAAAAGTCAATTCAAAAACATAGGGGCAGACATTTGCAGTGGCTAACCATGAAGTTTGACCACGATTGGTTGGTTAATTTTAGTTTATGACGTATTTTTTTCACATACTAGGCAAAGTACAAAAAATTCGGTACAGTGGTGCAGCAGCAAATTAGGAAATTACCGAAAAATCAGTACAGCAGTCTGGTAGGGTTAACTGATTTTCTCAACTTCTTGCCTCTTCAGTGCAAGCATCATTTTCTCACTTGATTGTGTCACTGAAATGTATTAGGTTCTCTTCATATGCTTTGCATTATTGATTATATGATGTTGTTGGATGAACAACCATAACTTTTTGCCAGAGTTTACAGCAGGTGAACACTAATAATACAAATAAGAAGGTGAAATACATTGGTACCTTGGTAGATGTTTGCTTTGAAATGCGTTCAGCTTTGTATATGTTCCTGTTTAGAAGTGAAAACGTTTGCTTGGTATATGATATTTGTTTGAAGTACAAACTGCATGGTAGAACTTGAATGGGTCAAAATTAGTTATGACAATGCGTGCTCTTTGCTTACCTCTCTCACAACAAATCCATGGATATATGTCAATGACTTTGTAGAGAAGTATTACCCCCAGTAAAGCCCAAACAAGCTGTAATAGCAATGTCTGGAATGACAAGACAATGTTACATTTCCAGAACAGCCTGAGGAGAAGGCAGAAGCAAAGTTTTTGGGCAGATTTTTAGTTAGTCAGACCTGATGAACCACAACCAGGTCCAAATAGTGAAAAGAGACCATCCTCTACCTCCCTGACAAAAACAGCAGAATTTCAGATTCCTTGTTTTATTGGAAGGAGACTCTCCTTCCAGCAGTGACATCCCTTCATACTCCTTGTGCAATACCATCTGTTAAAATGACATCAGATATTCATTTATTTAATCTGTTTTCATGTTTATTCATTCATTCATTATTGTTATATGCCATTATATGTCACATAGGGCTCACAGTCTACTCCTCCATTCCATTTGATTCTGAACAATCAGTTCAATATAATTGGTGGAATCCAGTCCAACAACTTTGGCCTCTCTCATCAGCGTTTGTTTTAGAGTTTTTTTTTATGGCATCCTCACCTCCTCCCTTTGATTCCCATTTTAATGCATATTTGGTAATTCTCTGCTGGTTTCTTCTCAGGATGTGTTCAGTGTTGTGCCGTCTACTCTGTCTTATAACTGTTGTGGTTGCCCAGAAATTTCTCTTATTTCTTCAAATCTTTTGAATTTATCACATTTTATATTCAACATTTTCTTCAGACATTTGTTTTCAAATGCATTTATCGTTCCATTTTAGTATTAGGCAGTATATAAATTATTGTATACAACCTTGTCACTGCCCGATGTGATGTTGACCACATTACTCGCCAAGTGCCAGCTGGTCTTCAAACATACAGATCTAGCTAGCCCTATATGCACAATACCCCTGAATTAGTAGAAAGGTTGCTTTACTTTACTTACCCCGTCAATGTGTAGTATACCAGTATCAATAGGATTAAGTTTCAGTTTTTGCCTCTGACAAATTTTCATTATGTACTAGTATGTTTGTTAATGCAGATTCTCCATTTCTAGAATAGGAATCCAAAGGTTCCATCACCCAGCTTCTGAGTTGAGTGAATGGTGAGACACTGGATTTCATGTGGAATGTTTGTGTGTGTGTTTGTGTGTGTCTGTGTGCGTACGTGCGTGCGTATCCACCTCCATTCTCAAACTAGATGTGATATCAGACCAGGCTTTGTTGCACTAAGCGACATCTTCTTCTTCTTCTTCCTCTTTCATTCGCTTAAAATAAATTATCTATCTGGAGTGTTGTCTCTAGAAGACTTCACTGTCTTTTGTGAGGCATCCATTTGCTTTTAATATGAACCCCCATGCACTTTATCTACCTCTTAACACAGAGCCATCTGTATAAATAATCATATCACCTGGCCAGAAATAGTCATGAATAATTTTTTTGATAAGAGATAACCATAGGATACTGAAAAGCATACTAGATAAAATATTAATGGATAAAGATATGATAATGGAAAGATGCATCGTTTATATGAAAGAGTTTTAGGATTATGATGATAGTTGAAAAAAAAAACACCTTATGACCAACACAAAGAATCCCCAATATTAAAAACAGAAGAATCTGTACAACACATGACAAGAAGTCAATCCTTAAGACCAGATTACTATAAATAAAAGCTGCTGGGTCTTTGAGATGAGTTTCTGTTCTGCTGTCTGTATTCTTGCATTATTTGTTTCTGATTTTGAAACAGGTAAAGACCATGAAGTTACAGGTTTTTGATGCAAGTTTGTGGTGCTTTCCTTTGGTAATCTGGATTTATGTGTTGAGCAGAATGAGAGTATCAACATCTTGGTCCACGTGACATGTCAGATTCTTTTAATTTATATTTGGAAGACTTTCAGTTCTTATTGATTGTCTTTCCCCTTTGAATTTTTAGACTACTTGTGACTTTACATCAGGTGTGTTCAAATTATTTTTTTTTTAATTTTGTATGTGAGACAGCAGTATAGTGTTATTAGCATAGTCTAGATAATTGAGCTGCTCTCTCTGTCAAGTATATTTAATGTTTTTTTAAAATTGTTTATTTATAGAACAAGTTAGTAACATGGAATTCTCACTCAGGTGCAAGTCCTGATTGAACATTGTAAATTCTACCAGCATTTCTAACAGATGCTGAGCTTGTTCATTCCATCTCATCACAAATGTCAGAATACAGTCTCATTGAAAAACTCTTGAGAATAATTTAATTATAAGTTTACAAAATTAGCAGATGGCAGAGACTGTTTTGACCCTACATTTTAAACATTCAATTTTGAATTGTAATTACACATATTAAAAACAGCAAACATATTGATGTACTTACTTTTTGTGTTTTCAGTACTAGGTATTGAAACAAGCAATCAGGATTCACTCCCAGAAAAAGTGAAGCAGTGATTGCACAAGCAGATAGTAAATAGATTCAGTGATAAATCTTCTATAAAGAATCTAAGGGGACTGTCAGAGTGACAACCAACCAGTTGTCATGGCTGAAAGATACACTTCCTACTCATCTAGTGATAGTGCTCTTGTGAGTTCACATCCTTTTTTGGATAGCTCTGGATCAAGTCGAGCAACAGCTGGTCAAGGCATTAATGTGACTATTCAGAATCTACAGAGTGAGTAACAGAGTGTGGTCTTTAATTGAATGTGAAAGTAATTACATTTTAAATTAAATGATCGTTCTTCCATTATTTGTGTATGACTTCTGTCTTTTTATCCTTGTCTGTCTTGTTTTTCTAATAACACTAATCACCTGGTAACATGACTGAAAAGTATTAAAACAAGCATGTTATTACATGAAGAGTTCCTTGAAATTTTCATATAATAGCTGACCAAATACACACACTAGTTGTGTGCTAGTACTAGCTTTTACAGTGTCTTGTTAAGAAATTTCACCATGGTACCCAGTTAGTGTTTGACACCAGTTATGAGTTCCACTCTAGTTTGAAAGCTGTGTATGGTCTGCTGAAGAAATGGTAGTCACTTTTTGATAAGTTTAGGCTGTAAGGAGTGGTTACAAATCTTTCTGTTAGGTGATTCTTATGAAGCTTTTGGGCAATCTACAGTATTGGTCTATGCATTGATGTGCAAGAAAATAATGACTTTAGTGAGCATTTTACATTTAGCATTTTATCATTAACATCCTGTATTCTGTCCAAAATAATCCTACCCGATATTTTTCCAGGAACATAATTCCTCTCAGGGGAAAGGCAAGATGGACGTATAACCAGATTACGACCGGTACCATTAGTATTGGAACTCTGTGCTGGCTGCTGAAGATGAGGACAGAGCACACATAGGAATGCCCCGAGTGCTGTGATGTCAATTCTTGACTCCTGTAGATTCCATTTTTTAGGCAGTTTCACAAGATATCCTTCTCTCCAGTCTGCTGGAATTTCTTCAGTCTTCCAGAATTTACTAAATAGTCTATGTAGGACTTCCATTATTGTCTTTATATTGGTCTTGTGGATTACCCAAACTCAAATGCTGTCTTAGCTGGATAGGCCAGTCAAAAAAAATTCTTCTTCGTGTTCACTGGCTGTAAACTCCAGTGAAAAGTTTGGTTGTTTATCCACCTCCATAATCTGAGTGTTGCAATCCATTTTGTTCTCCTTGCACCTTTGGACGCAAGCTGGACGGCTTAGTGGGAGTTTTCTCCCTTGGCCGCATTGAAAACAAGTAGCGGAAAAAGTCACGAATCAAACAAGACAGTGAGGTCGACATCAGGGCTGCTAATGCTTGGTTGTGTCCTCCAGATCTGGGTTTTTCTTTTGACACTGCGGGAAAATCTGGGGTTTTGTTGTTGTTGGTGTTTTGCCGATCTGTATGCTTAAATGACTGATAAATTTGCCTGGTTAGGGGTAGGGTTAGGGTTAGCGGTAGGATTTGGGTTAGGGTTAGGATTAGGGGTAGCGTTAGGGTTACGGTTAGGGGTAGCGTTAGGGGTAGGGGTAAGGTTAGGGTTAGGGGTAGGTTTGGTTTAGCGTTAGATGTGACAATTTTGACGCCGTAGTTCGCACAGTCACATACACACCCAAACAGTTGACGGACGGTGGATGCTACTGACACGGACAATTCACCACTGATTGGGCACCAGCCACGCGCTTCTGCCGTCATATTTGGCACACTTCCAGTGGTGCCATTCCCACAAGCATCAGATTGTCGCCCAGTATTTGGAAGTGCTACGTCACCATTTTCACATCTAACCCTACCCCTAACCCTACCACTACCCCTAACCCTAACCCCAACCCACAGCCTACGCAACCCTACACGCAACCGTATGATGATGATAGACACCCTACGCAGCCCTACACGCAACCGTATGATGATAGGTAACCCTACACGCAACTGTATGCAACCCTACACGCACCCGGATGATGATAGGTAAGTATGTCATTTGATTCGTGACTTTTCTGCTCGTTGTTGTCAATGTGGCCAAGGGAGAGAACTCCCACTAAGCCGACCTAAGCCGTCCAGCTTGCGTCCAAAGGTGCAAGGAGGGCCATCTATTTTACAAATATGGCTTATCTGTAGACAGACTCTTGGTTCCTTAGCTCTCAGGCAGATTCACTCTGAAGAATACCCCTAGTTAGTTGACTGGCTTGTTGAGGAGGCAGTGAGTTATTGCTGTTTTGTTTCCACAGTAGGGCCCCGAAACCCACATGATGAAGAGTATTTGATGTCATAAGATAGTAGGGCCCCGAAACCCACATGATGAAGAGTATTAGATGTCATAAGATAGTAGGGCCCCGAAACCCACATGATGAAGAGTATTAGATGTCATAAGATAGTAGGGCCCCGAAACCCACATGATGAAGAGTATTTGATGTCATAAGATCATTTTTAAGAGCAGAAAGAAATTACAGGGATATTATGCTAAACCTGTTCTGGTGTATGAGTGAATCTCATAAGGGAAGCATTGAGATGATTGGAAAAAGATCAGTGATAGAAGAGTCGTATAGGCAACCTGAGACAAATGATGCTGTATCTAAAATGGTGAAACATCTTCCATAAAATTGGTTAAGAATATCAGAGATCAAGTTTGTGAAGAGTCATGATACTATTTCTTTCTCTTAAACAAAATAAATATCACCACAGCCATCACACAGTCTGAAAGGTTGCAGTGTGCTTACACAGAAGGAACCACTTCATGGACCTCTTATCTGATGTGACCTACATTATGTGTAGTTCTGCTGTACAAAGAATTTGGGATTGTAAGATTCAAAACAAAAACATTTCTAAGTAGCTCAGCTCACCAAGGCAAAATGTAAACCTTTGAATTCTGAGTTCTCCTTTTGTTTAGAGTAATATGCTAGAGAAGGCTTTGAAAATTGTGACATATTTATAGAACAGTAGTTAAGTGGTCAGGATCTGGTAACTGCTTCTCATTTATTTTCTTTCATAAATAATATAACAAGTGTGAATGTAATATGAGCCTCAGTTCAAACAGATTGAAAATGAAGTAACTGAAATCGTTCTGAAATATAATTTTATTAATATGGAATGTAAGCAGTTGAGTCAGTCGGTAAACAAAAGATTATATGATTTCCCTGCGGAAATTGGAATAATCTTTGGCGCAAAATGAATTGACAGATTTGTTGGAACTGTGTGCAGAGGTACCAGTATTTGTATGGACTGTAATGCTCCATGTTTTACCTGGTGAAGACTGAGTGTGCAGACTGCCATATTTGTCCCACATGTTTAGCAAAAGAAAGCAAGTAAATCTGCAATTGCAAGGGAAAACTGCCACAGTTTTTCATGCAAACAGCAAAGTGTTTTCTTTAAAGATGAAACTTATGGATAGGTTGAAGTGTAAGGACAAGATATGTGTTGATTGCTTCCCTCTAATAGAAAGCTTCTCGAATGAAAAAATATCAAGGTTCACGAAAAAATACAGAAATATTTACAAATATCTTGAAGCTTTAAAAGACTGATGTCAATGTCAGCGCAAAGTAAAGTGTTTGATGCTTTCAGTGGGTACTGACTATGTTTGGTGTCATGAAAAAATTAAAATAAAAGCTTAAACACAACATAACACGAGACCCTTATATATTTGACATCTCACAGCGTTGACATTTTTTTTGTCAAAATCAAAGTCTACTGGAGTTTGGGCTGCATTTACAAGATAAACATAACCTCGTCTGAGAAAGCAAAATTATATTATTGCATTTCTTGTCTACAAATCTCTGTAACGCGACCATTTTTTTCTCTCGCTAATATACCTACCTGAAATGCTATAGAAAGATTCTCAAAATATCTTGGACAAAGAAGAGGAGAAATACTGACATCTTGAAAGATCTGAACATCAAGGAAGATTGGCTAATAAACAGCTTCCTGTCTCGGAAGCTGAAATATTTTGGTCATATCAAGTGCCATGACGGATTGGAAAACATTATAGCAGAAGGCATGGTACCAGGAAGGAGGAGCAGGGGCCGACCGACACGAAAATTGGCACTGGATATAAATGACTCCTTGAGTATGAAAGTACATGTGGCGCGAGAACTGGCGAGAGATCGAGTTTCTTCAGACAGACCGTGATGAGAGCGACGTTCTGCAAAGGACCTGCTTACATGATGATGATGGCCTTACACACACGCACACACACACAAACTTACTGCTACTCTCACAATCAGTGTAACATCTGTTGTAATGCAAATGGTTTGTTTTATGGAAAAAATTATGGAACCATTGAAGAACTTTTGTATATGACCAAGTTTTGACGATGTGGATCAGTGCTAGTTGACTGTTATGATAAATTTCAAAGTTTGCAAAATATAATTTCGTTGTGCAGTTGTTTTGATATCTCCTAATTTTAAATTCCCTTACTTTCTACTATCCGCTCCTTAACATTACGTCTAAACACTATAAACTTGCAAGGCATAAATAAGAGTACAGTAAGGGCTCCACCGAACTTATTTGATTGTTAAAAGGGCTCAGCCAGTCAGAATAGTTGGGAACTGCTGGGCTCAGTTTAGGTAATAGTCTCTTGGCCTTCACCTTTCTCTGTCTACATCAGTCTTGCCCTCTCTTAGCGTGTCGGAAAAACACAACTGCTTCTAATTTGTCTCATCAGTTTGAGGCTTTGATCTGCGTAAAGGAAAGGAGGCGCACTTCTGTTGTTTATATGTCATTCTTTGATATTGTATGCGTTTCTAAAAACCAGTTCTATGCCCCCCCCCCCCAAGGTAAAAAATGTATTTAAGCGTGCATGCTTTTTGTCCATGTCTCACATACATATAACACACAGTTTCTATATAGCGTCTTAACTTGTATTTCTCATTGCAGTTTATATCTTTTTTTTAATCTCTTTTGCATTCTGATAAAATATAGTGACGTTCCTGTTATGTTTACCATGTCCATCATGTTTAACATACATTGGGGGGGGGGGGATAATGCAACAATTGTAAACATACTGGGGTGGGGTAGGGGGCACAAAACATTCTTTATCTTTCTACACACGCGCTCGCGAGCAAAAAATGCGTTCCGACGAAAAGTTTCTTTATAACTTTTCAGTTTCTCCAAAGAGGGCAAGTTGGTGAGTCTGACCTAGTTTTCGCATCACATGTCAGACATCAGCGTGCATTTGTCTGGTGACTTCTGCAGTATAGATCCCCTC